TTTAGTGATTAATAAATATACATAAACTGAACAACCTCATTAATCAGCAGGAAGGTTGTTGGAAAAACTAGTCGACCATGCGACCCATCTCTAGCCTCTAGTCATCCAGATCTTTTTTGCTCCGTCAAGCTGTGTTTTTGCAACCCACCTGTAAGCGTTGAGGAGGTCTGTACAGGTGGCATTGTTTTTACAGGGGTTTGATGAACATTCATCGGTCTCCCATTGACAGAACTCCCCCTCCCAGCCGGGTAGACAGAGGCACTCGTAACTCTGTAATGCAAATGAAGACAGCAAATGATCAGATAATAGACAACGGTGTAACACTTTCATCTAACCTTTGCCTTGACCTAGATAAATACAGCATATTCTGTCACCAATCACTCGACACACCTGAAAATGTCTTCATTAAAACATTCACAGTAATAGAACAGAGTAAGAGATGACAGTATAGCAAAGCACTGTGGTGTTAAAGAAATAATTAATCCAAAATTCTATTATTTTTAATATTTTTTCCCAGGTGCTGGGTAGTTTTTTTGTAACTCAGCTGCTGGGTCATTTTTACTGTCAATGCAAATGATGAACCCCCTCACATACCTACACTCTAAAAAATGCAGGGTTGTTTCAACCCAACTTTGGGTCAAATATGGACTAACCCAACTTTTGGGTTAAAAATTTAATGTAAAAATTTAACCCAACGTTTGGGTTAGTCCATATTTGACCCAAAGTTGGGTTGAAACAACCCTGCATTTTTTAGAGTGTACCCAGTGCTGGGTCAGTGTAACCCAATGTTGGGTAAACTGTGCCAAGCCAGTTAAAACTGGTTACGTTTGTCAGCGGTCATTTGTGTTCTGTCCTGAGAGAAAACTTCCTTAGGGGAAACATCCTGAATGAAATTAAGGTTAGCTCACATTTCATCTTTTTTGATTACATGTACGTCGCAGATAACATCTGCTAGGAATGCTAGCCTACACCAGACCTACACTCTAAAAAATGCTGGGTTAAATACAACCCAGTGCTGGGTAAAATAGGGACAAACCCAGCAATTGGGTTGTTTTGACCCAGCGGTTGGGTTACTACCCAGAAGTTTGGGTTAAACATTTAACCCAACTGCTGGGTCAAAACAACCCAATTGCTGGGTTTGTCCCTATTTTACCCAGCACTGGGTTGTATTTAACCCAGCATTTTTTAGAGTGTACACTCAAAGCGAACAACGCACCGGCACCACCATGGAAATTTCACCTCCTACCAAATAAATGCACGACCAGGGCTGAAACACGATGCTACACGTTATATGTAATAAAGTTTCCGTATGCACCATTGACTACAACTGAGTGCTATTGATCTAGTGCGCTAGCGATCTGTGGTCGTTTGACGGGTTGAAATCCAAACTTAAATGGCTGACATGAGATGGCACGAGGTGAAGCTGATTTTGATGTAACTTTTCAATCATGCATGATTGTCATTTCATTAACTGGAACAGCTTACTAATACCGGTTTTCTTCCCACAGATTCCCAATGACTGCTGTTGCTGCTCCTGTCACGTCCTAAAACATTTACTAAATGTTTTTGAGTATTTCATGATTGTAAAAGACTGACTTGCCATTGGATAAAATATTATTGTATATGAATATATAACAAAGATTTTAGAGTGCATTTTCATTATTTAAAATGAAAAACCTTCAATATCAGGTTGACTGACCCAGCACTGTCAAAAAACAACCCAGCAAATGGGTTAATGTAATGTCAAAATAACTCAGCATGTGTTCTGTCCAATATTTACTCAGCGCTGGGTTGCCAAATAACCCAGAAATGGTTGTTTATAACCCATAATTTTTAGTGTACTTTTATTCAAAAATACTTTTAAATTGATCAAAAGTTACATTTATAACATTACACAATATTTCTATTTCAAATAAATGATGTTCCTGTGAATTTTCTATGCAAAGAATCATGAAAAATTTATTTTTCCACAAAATTAGACAACACAACTGTTTTCAACGTTTGTCCAAATTTTTTCAAAAATGTCCTAATATATTTGAATTTAAAAATAATAACAGATGACACTTCTTGAAGCATGAAACAAGAAAACGAGTAAGGCCCAATCCCAATTCTATTTTATACCCCTTCCCCTCCGCCTACCCCTTCCCCTTGTCCCTTGAAACAGAGTGTCAAGGGGTAGGGGTGAAAATATTCCCCTAAGAATTGGGACACCACTGCTATGCCGTCACACATCATCATACGTCGTCTAGCTCCTGCAATACACACACCTATGCTGGTGAGCATTAGAGCCTTTAACTATCGTTCTATATTAATGCGCTGCTTACTGACTGACACACACACACACAGGTTTGTTTTTGTGAAAAGTGGGGACATCCCATAGGCGTAATGGTTTTTATACTGTACAGACCGTATATTCTATTGCCCTACACCAACCCTACCCCTAAACCTACCCCTTACAGGAAACTTTGTGCTATTTCAGATTTTCAATACACTCCATTCTGTGTGATTTATAAGCGTTTTGAAAAGTGGGGACATGGGGTAATGTCCTGAAAAGTCACCTTCTCCTTGTAATACCTATGTCATACCTTTGTCATTATACAAACTAATGTCCTCATTTGTCACAAAAACGCGCACACACACACACACACACACAAAAAGTACACCCAAAGTGACATTGCTGACAGTACAAACTGATGCATCTCAAGAAAGTAAAGGGAGACAGCAGTCTAAAGTAAGTCTCTGCTGGAACCGGTTGTGCTCAACTCTGGGGGTCCGTGTTATTAGCGTGATGTGGACCGTCCTGTTCGTTGATGGTGTGCAGATGGAGGCAGACTGGAGGTCGCTGATGCTCTCTTTGCTCTAGAGGCACATCTGAGGCAGCCAGGTCCTGTTCCTCATCCCCCGAACCACGAGGAGGTTGAAGGGCTGTCTGGCCCTTCCCCTACCCCTACCCCTACCCCTCCAACCAAAAGAGAATTGAGACACCCCTACCCCTTCACGTGAACGCGCAAAACGGAGGGGTAGGGGAAAGGGGAAGGGCTAAGGGGTAGAATTGGGATTGGGCCTAAATCTATATGTACCTTCCAATTCCTTTCTCTTAGTCTGGGGGGAAAAAACAAACAAAAACAAAACAAACAAAAGCATACACACAAGGCATGTAGTTGAGGTTTATATTATAATTTGCACTGAGGGCAATCTGTGGGCAGCTTCAACTCTCAACCCACCTGGTATTAACTCCAGATGTATTTAGCATGGTTTTCAAAGTTGTTATCTTTACAGAAGAGCAACCACTGCTATGCAAATGCACTCTCTCTACCACCCACCACTGCACATCAGATATTCAGGCATGTCTTTAAAGGCATGCAAACTATTAAATTTTGGCATAAATTACTAAAGAAATCTGCATGAGCCACACATTTCAAAGAGAAATATTCAGAATTACACCCCATGCTCTGAAATGAACGGCACTTGAAATGAATGAATTTGCGCTCTCTACTTAATGCTCAAATACGAGATACAATGTAAATGCATCTTCTTCTTTTCTTCAGAAGTGCTGTCCTTTCCTTTACTGCGACTCTCCCATCCACTTTGTCATTAAAGTTTTCATTATGAAAATGAATCACTGCGGGTGGTTTGTTGTCTGTTATTTTGCATGGCAAAGGTTTATTCAATCTCATCCCATGCAAAGGAAATGAGCGCAGGTTTGCACAGTCAAGGCATGGTTAGAGTTCTTCATCATGGCTGCCCTGAGGGTTTATCCTGGAGTGCATGCTAATCTGTGCTTCATCCAGATGCAGACACAGTGTTAAGCTCTGCCTAATGTAATTTGAGCACCGCAGGCCTTATTCATAAGACAGAAGAAGCTATGCAGACATGGTGTGATAGATCAGATGCCTCCAGAAGACTTCTGTTTTTCACCCCTGGCTAAGGATAGTATAATCTTATTTAGGCTGCTAAATCATCAGCTGGGATCATAGCTCTCCCGAGAAACCCAGGGTTGTGCGGGGTATTTTTATTTTAACAGAAGTAAATAAATAACTACGTAAACACTGCCAGGAAGTAAACTGCAATCTGTGAGAAGGATTTCGAAAGCTTGCTCCTGTCTCCACATGAAGTTGCACAAGAAAACTTCTTTTTGGAAAGAGATAATTGTGATAGAATGATTTAGAAACTATTATATGCAAGATGAATTTATGCATAATAGTGCGGTAAGTTGCTGCTCGGAAAGACTACAATGAAAAAATAATTTATATATGTTAAAATAATGTAATTGTCAGGATTATTGACCTGTTTAGTTGTGTTTTGCCCCTGTCTTTGTTCCTGGTGTTCCTTATATGGTCTTTTTCCTGTCCTCGTTTAGTTTAATTGGTCATTCAGTTCACCTGTGTTTGTTAATTATCCCTTGCATTTAAGTTCGAGTCTGTGCTGTCTGTCTTTGTCCGAGATTGTACGTCAGCCCTGGTGTTACCTGTGCTCCTGTCTGCCCTGTGTATTCCCTTGGATGTTGGATTAAAAGACTGTTGTGTTCGTTTACGCCTTGTCTCCTCGTTCCTTCCCAGAGTGAGCGTGACAGTAATGATTTTAAATAACTATGAATAGCAAGAACTATTCATAAAATAAGATGAATATTTTGAAGTAGTTCTGTAATACCACATACTAAAGTACAGTGAAATAGTATACTAAAAATTATGGCAGAATACATGCAATATTATTAAATAAGTACTTAATAATGTGTACAACTGAGTAAATATGTCAAATGGGCTGTCAAAATTAATCACTAAACATGAGTAACTGCAAACAGATCACATGAAAAAAAAAATGGTCAAAAAAGTTAATTGGAATTCCAAGAACCATTTGCTTATACTGTAAATATTTCAAAATAACAATCAATAATTGTAACAATAAGTAATAAGATTGCTGAAGTAGTCACCTTAACTTAAAAATAGTTTTATATTATACATTATCTTAAAGTAATAAGATTGCTGAAGTAGTCACCTTAACTTAAAAATAGTTTTATATTATACATTATCTTAAACTATTACTGAACTGAAAGTCAAAAGATAGAACCATATTAATTTTTAAACTATAAAACCATTGCTGGAAATGAGCAAGCCAGCACATTTATAACTCGATTATGAAACAACTACACATAAAACAGCCTTTTGTATTATTGAAGTCCTTAATTTGGTCACATTTTATTGCAGTGTTTGCTATCGTATATATTATTTAGTAAATTATATACTCTAGTACAAACTGATACTCACAATAAA